GGAGCGCGTTGCAAAGCTTTGCGCGGCGGGCGGGAGCGGGCCGAGCACATCGTGGTGGGACCTCACTCGATTTTGCAAACTGTAAATTAGATGCACGGTTGCAACTGGCCGTTCCGTCTTCTTAGGGAGCAGGGCCGAAACGTGTGTCAAACATGAGAGGTGAAGCTCCGATTTCCTCCCACCTTGGTGCTGCGTGACTGTTCAATTCTTGCTACAGCGCGCAAAGGTCAGCACATCCTATTGGAAAAGGTCATCCTCCTGCTGCACATGATCGGCTGAACGCTCCAGGCTCCTCCAGTCCGTGTGACTGTCACTTATGGCGAAGGCAGCAGGCAGGGACAGCAGCGCAGGGGGCTGCGGGAGGCAGGGGAGACCCGGCGGGACCTCGCGGTAAAGGGCCTGAGCTTTTCTGGGTATTAGAGATCCATTTCGATGTTCTAAGAAGCTTGATGAAGTATTAAGCTTGATGCTCTGGCAAAATCCCAAGTTACATAATTACATTATTCCGCTTACTCGAATTGTCCTTTCAGTTTCAAATAGAGATGATACGGCCCTGCTCGAAGGGTAGTTTTCCCATGAATTGTTAAATAGCTGCTGCATTCCAGCAGCAGATAAAGCAGTTGCTCTCTGTTCACCTCTTAACCGTGTTTTCATAGTGATGTGATGAAATGTTAAATCCTATAGTGAAAACGCCTCTGTGGAGAGAGGTCCTCCTTAGGTGGGTCCTGCTGGCGCTTTTTTTCTTTACTGACAAAAATGTTTACTCAAGAAAATACCTAAGAGACTAGTAATTTCTACTGTAGCTGCGCATCATCCACGATGGTTTACCCTCTGCAAGTACATAAGTGCAAAATGAAAATCGACTGTGCCCATGTCTGGATGTCTTCAAGGCCAGGCTGGATGAGGCTGGGAGCAACCTGGTCTAGTGGAAGGTGTCCCTGCCCATGGCAGGGGGGTTGGAACTGGATGATCTTTAAGGGCCCTTCCAACCCAAACCATTCCATGATTCTATGATTCTATGTGCAGACTGTTGGGAGACAGGGCGTTGCTTTGTTTCTGGAAGGCACGGTGTAGCTGACGGCAAAATTTGGCTCGGATATTTTTATTACTTACGATAATACGAGAGCTAGCCTGATTCTCAGCTCTCAACCTGAATTTGCATTGAAGAAAATCATTTGTGGTCAATTGCCTCACACCAAAGAAATATGAGGAAACACTAATGACACCTCGTGCTCACTACAGGCTGGTAGTAACTGCAAAGACCCAATCTGCTACAGTCAATTGAACTGAAAAGTTGAACTTCTGGTTTGTCCATTGGAAGGTTGAACGGAGCTATTACACATGCGGGGAAGTGTGGTAGCTTTCCCACCCTGTTCTCTTCCCAGGGCCGTGTCAAGCTGTCATCGTGGGAGACGCAGGCTTTGAGACATAAGCTAGTAAGCTAGTGGCAGGTCTGAAGAAACTTTCCCTTCCCGTTTCCTGAGCCTGCAGAGTGGTAGTTTGCAGGGCAGAAAACGTCGTGCCACCGGGTCAAGCCCGCAGCAGCTGGAGTTAACTTGAGTTTGGGAGTTCAGAAGGGTTGAAGACGGCTTTTGGGCAGCCAGTTGTGTGGTGTTGTGCTGTTTTATTGAATCAGTGGGATTATTTTTGAGTGGGAGTAGCTCACGGAATGCACCAGGGCTGCTCATTTTGATGTGGGTAAATACTTGCATGAACAGGTAAAGAGGGAGCGACAACCGGCGCTCTGCTGCAAGAAGAGCCTTCCATTTCTACCACTAGAACTGGCTTGGCCTCCTCCAGCAGTTCTTCCCTCAATCTTCCTCTGGTTTGCTGTTCTGCTAGTTTTAATTTCAGTATTACCTCAAGTATTTGCTGCTCTCGAGTAGCAGACTGTACATCACAAATAGCTTTAGACCAGCAGGTTTTTTACCACCTTTGAGGCTATTTGGATATTGTTTTTAAAATAGGTTGCAAAAATACAAATGTCAACAGTGAATAATTATGAAAGGAAGTTAGGAGTTACATTTTAACAATTCATGTACCTGGGTTTGTCAATAGGATTTAGGTGCATTTGATAAATCTTATTTACATAGCATTTCTAATTAGAAAATGATAGAAAGTGCAATTGCCTCTTAGTGTGGTAACATGATCTGTAATCACACATAAATATGTGTAATTGTTATTTACTACTGGGTTAAGAGCACTACAAACTTTCAAATAGCCATGGAGAATATGACAGTCTTCTGAAAGCTTACTGTGCCCTTCCCTATTCCCTAGGCAATATAGTTAGATCTGAGTATTAGAATGTAACTACAAACTTTTCCGGCCTAAGTGGGGAAATTCAGGAATTTCAAAATAACATTAGCATGTATTTTACAATTTATATGGATTGTTATCATAGATGGGATCACATTTTTTCATTGAAGACAGGAATTAATTACAAAAACAGTGCCACGGGGTTGAGCATTTTCAAAGTGACAGCTCAGGACAGTTTTACTAGTGCCCAAAATGAAGGAAATAATAAAAAAAAGGAATGGATAGTAGGGCTATGGAAACAGCATAGCACTATTTCAGATTCAACTTCTCTGTTGCTCTTGGTGCCTTGACATACTTGGTCGTTGGTCAAAAAACTTGAATTAGTAAAAATAAGGATTAGTACTCCTTATTTGCAAAGTTTGAGATTATTTTAAGCATAATTTTATTTTCTGGATTAAAAAAAAAATCTTTTGCTTTTTAACACCTTCAAAACTGTCATGGTCAACGCTTTTACCTTGTTTTAACCAAACTACGCTCTGATGCTTGCAGTATAGTAGAAACTTACGACTTCTCCCATGCCACTTAGGTGTCATTTATTTGAAAGTAGTTATGAGAGTCCTGAATTGGCTCAGGGTATTTACAGTGATCACTTTTCAGTTAGTTGTAGCACGTGTTTTTTAATGAAGCTGTCTGCTAAGAAAGATGGCCTCATCACGGGATTCCTCCATATATTTGTATATATACAGAATACACCTATTAACTGGCAGCAGCAAAGCTGGTTCTTTTGTTGGATGATTATAGTGCCTTAACGACAAATTGGGTAGGAAGATGCCATTTTGAAGCGCCTCATGGAAGATGAGAGCAAAGAATGATGGTATTTCAAAAGCCATCTGTCTGTTGGCGTGTCAACAGTATTTTTATATAGGTGAGATTTCATGCTGAAGAAACCTTCCAATACCATTTCCCACCCGGGCTGTGTTACGGGGGATGCATTCTGAGAACGTATGGAGCTCGAGCTATTTCTCACTTCTCAGTCACTGTGATCATCACCTGGAACCACATCTTCTAATTGATGTTGCTTTCCTAAACTTTCTGGTCTTCGGGCAATAACCTTACCCAAACAGAGTTTTGATGCTTACAGAATAGGAAAAGTACAACACGAAACCTTTGACAAGAGCTTTAGCAGTATTTAATGCCTTAATTCAAACCAGTATGCAGGTGCTGTTGTGAGCCCGGCCATAGGAGTGGCTAGAACCTGTGGTCAGCCTCACCCTACGAAAGCCACTGAAGCACAAGTAATGGTGTATGGTGTGTGAAGTGCTGCAATGATGCACTGCTGAGCATGCAAAATACCTTACAGCAAAAGACAGTGAGTTCCTTCTTTTGTTAACCTGACAGCAGCTTAAATGTCAGCATGAGGTTATTTAATTCCTAATTGTTTTTCCAAAAAAACTTGTAAGGAGGCTAATCTGTGTTTACTGTGGTGTGATAGAGGGCTACAGACAACTCTGCTGCCACAGTGGCATTATGCGTTTACCCTTACTCCCCAACCACCTGAAAAAGAAGATGTATGCTTCCTCTTAATTATGAAACCTATTACTGTCGGGAGCAAATTCTATCAATGGGCTTTAAAAAGTCCAATAGAGTAAGCACTTATCTAAAAAATCTTACCTTTTCATGGCTCTCTAAGAAATATTGAAGGTGTGCATTGAGGAAATACGCTATCTTGAATAGTAACAGTAATGAAATATCAAAGTCTCCTCTGTTGGACCGATCAGTTCGCATTAGAAGTATCTAATAAAGCTTCATAGCTTATCAGTACTTTTCTGATTTTTGGCTTGGTGCTGCTGTATGAATGGGTCACTGTCCAGCACTGCCATGGTAACCGAGGGTTTGGCTGGGATTCAGGGTGGGCAGAATCAGTGAAGCTTTGTACCTGCTCTCGTTTCTGCTGCTGTGCCGACAGTCACAGGTAGTGTCACAGGACAGCAGGTTACAGAGGACAAAAGCCAGACCGGAGCAGGCACCTGCAGCAGAGGTGACTGCCTACAAGACCAACACTGCAATTGGCTGAGAAAGTGTGTTCTAGTTTATCAAACAGTATTTATTAGGAATGCAAACTGACAGATTTAAATGCACAATTAATTATGGAAACCCACATCACTAAGGAATAGCTATTAAATAAAAGCATGATTATTTTTAGAGACTTCCAGGATGCAAAGTACACAGAACAACCATAACCTTATCACCGTTTTACAAAGTTGAGCTACTTGTCTTACCTAATTCTTACAGCCTCATGAAATCCGAGCATAGTGGTGTACATCGATAACGTACATTGCTTATTCAGTGGCCTGTTATAGCTTTAATTTAATCTTTGTATATGTCATCCCTCAGCAATAAATGCAGGAAGTCGATCCTTACTCCGCTTCCAATCCAAAATGTTTCTTTTAGCTTCTTTAAAAACAAAACCAACCAGCAACAACAAAAAAAAAGCCATATCCTTCTTAGAAAAGTTACTTTTATAATGGCTTTAGCCTTTCTAAAATAAATGTGGTTATAGTTTAATTATAAAAGCAGCTTATGTAATGATGAGACATTTTTATGATTTTAATTTTTTAACACGTTGCCTTCTCTCTACAACTAACACACATGAATACTGCATCTATCCCATGATGAGCTCTTCTAGTCCTCCTGTTCCTACGTTCTTTAACTGCTGCACATAAAGAAAAACACAGAATACCTCAGGTTGAGCACCATTTAGTACAATCAAAATGACTCGTGACCAGGTCATCGGAGGGACTGCTCCAGCTTCATTTTCAGACATGCAGGTTCCTTGGGGGAATGTGTAAGTGACAATACCAATTCAAGTGGCCCAAAGCCTTCTGCTCGCCGCAATGCTACACTTGGTTTACACAGCCTTCTTTCTAGCCAATATTCCTAACGAACTGGTGGCACGTAAACAGCGGTACATGCAATCTGATCCCTTTACTAAGAAAAATAAATGTACAGTTCTGTTAAATAAAGACCAAGGGCTATTATATACAGTCTGTTAACTGAAAGGCCTTGTGAGACATTCAGGTCTAATTTTAATACTTTCCAAATAAATACCAGATAATGCAACATTTACAAATAGCACACCGGCAGTATTTTCGCGGTAATCACTTTACAAATCAGAGTTTAGTATTTCAATTAAGCAAATGAGTAGCAGCTCCATCATAAATATTAAGGCATGTCACATAGCATCAAAATGGAACCGATGAGCCTCCTGTCGCTTCTCTCTGTCATCTGCTTTCTGAAAAATAATAATAAAAACAACACTTTGCGGCATCTAGAGCAATGCGGTTACAGAAAGGAGCTGTCAGATGTCAGAGAACGGTTGATTTTTTCCATGTCACTCATTTGACAAAAGGCAAAAAAAGCTTGGTAAAAGCCCCAGTAATTAGCTTTTAAATGATGTCACTTTGAAATAGCAATAATCTACTGAAAATTGGCTTCTGCTGTTGATGCTCAGCTGGTTTAGTATTTATGACCCATAATTTCTAACAATGCTTTTTAAAAAGGAGTATTTAAAAAATGAAGAATGTTTCCTGGTGTACATTTATTCAGTCTGCGTTATAAATACAAGATGAAATTACTCTGGATTAGCTGTAAATGTCATCTCTATTACATTTAAAATTAGATTCTTTTAAAAAATCTGCGAAATACCAACGTAGACAAAAGATGGCAGTTACCAACAATTAACACCAAGGAGTCTAAAAATATTCCATGTTTTTGTTTGTGTGAGGAAAACATGAAGTAGGATGCATTGCCCTGCTTATTTATGCAGAACACACATGGATTGGTTTGGATGGTGCTGGGAAAAAAGCAGCACACTTAAATTGCACCTACAACCCGTGCAACGCGTAGACACGCGCCCTCTCCCACAGGCCTCCTCTGAAGCAGTAACGGAATGGGAAAGCACTTATTAAAGGGTTTGTGAACACACGGTGTGAACTTCTCCAGAAAAACAGTGTTTTTGCATGACAGACAGTATCTGTAAATCCTAGCATAAGATAATTTAGCAAAACAGATTTAAATGGTTTTTAGTTTGCTTGTGCCTGACTTTGGGGTTTTTTTTTTGATGAGGAAAATGAAGAAAAGCCTTTACAGCATGCTGTTGTGGGGGCACTCAGATTTGTGTCTCAGTTGATAAATATACATGACAGTTTTGGCAGAAATCAGTGCATGTGTTCTGCCATGGAAGTTTGTCATCTGCTTTGGCGCGGGGCCAAAGATTTCCTTATCACACAACGCTAACGTACGATAGCAACCCTGCTCGGCTGACCGTGGATTTCACTGCATCCTGTGCCAGCAGCAGAGCTGTCGGTGAACTTCAAGGTATGGCAGTCTGGCTTTTTGGCAGGGACTTCACCAATGTCAGTATATTTTGAATGTCAGAAATGGGGTGGGAAGAAGGGAGTGGCGTAGTCTTTCCTACATGGAAATGCTTCTCACACTGCACACCATTTTATAGTCTCACTTAGCAATTTTCACTCCATTTCGTGTATGCTTTCTGAAAAAATTACTGCTTCAAATCTGACAGTAACTGTTACCCTGGTGAATCCATCCGAACCTCTCTAGCAGTATTATCATCAGTGTGTAGTGCTCAGGACTAGCCTTAAGACCACAAAGCAAGTTGTAAAGACCCAGAATCCAGGAATATCAAGGACTTTACCTAACGTAGCAGACTGTATTGTTCTAAGATGAATAATAGTGTAAATTCTTCCTCAACTTCTCTTTCATTTGATGTCTCCAAACTAAAAACTAGTAATTGAGATTTAAAAGCCTTGGGTTTTTTTTAACGGATCCTAAATATTTATGGCATAACAGAGCAACATACTACCCCTAGCTGCCACAGCTGTTTAAACAGTACGATACTTGTGGAAGAACTATTGTAGACACAGGGCTCCTCCTCCTACTTATCTGCAGAGGTCAACGTACATGGTTTATTTTAACTGCCGAATAAAGCACTGCAGCTCACAGACAGATATATCCTCTGGGGGAAAAGAAGAGATTGTAACTGCCAGTACCATTTCCCCTTCCTTTCTTTACTATAGGTACTCTAGAGATCTGTAAGGGAAAACGGCATTTAGGCAGAAGAGTATTTTTATGAATGGCTTACTGAAAGAGGCAGTAAACCAAGAGCAAGCTTAGCAACAAGGAACTCCGCACTTTATCTCGCAGTCACGTAGCCTTATCTGTTCTGTATGTCAACCATTCACTCCAAAAATTGGGAAGGTAAAAATCAACAGGAGGGCACTGGAAAATCATAGGAACTAACAAACATTTGTACCGTAGTCTAAGAAACAGACTGTTTTCCCAAGTATTTCTGCCTCTTTTGAGTGCTGCTTTACCTTCCAACACATGAATTAGATGAACAATTGTTTTAAATGTTGACATTAGTCTCCATTTCTCCAGATGGAATTATATGTAGTTAATCCATCCCCAAGTCCAAGTCTGTGTTTCTGCTACTCTTGGTGCTTAAGGTGTATTGGAGACGGGTAAAGCCCGCCAGTGCACAGTCCTAGCTGCCAGTTAGCGATGCTGTCTTGGGGCAGTAGGCCACGCCGAAGGACAGTCATCATAAACCTTGTATTTCTTCGCTTTGTATTTTCTTCCCAGCTTTACTAATATTTGGACACTGTATTTAACGTTTTGAAGAGTGAAGATTGACAGACAAGTAACATTTAAATATGAGGCATGCGCAAAGCCCATCTGAATGCTTAACAAGGTCATTTTATTTCCACAAGCACAAAATAACAAACAGCTCTACCATGTCAAAATGTGCAGTAATTTTCTTTGACAGCTAAGATTATGGTTTGGGTATGTAGTAGCATTTATTGGCAATCCTGCCAGTTGGATATGATTGTGAACTGGGCATAGTTAAGAAAAATGGGAATGCACTTCTTTTGTGACATGAAAGGCCCCTTTCAAAATGCTTCTTTAAATCAATGGATTTCTATACACTGCATGTATAATTCAGACACACAGAGCAGAGCAGCCAATATGCACACGATTGACTCCCTGTACAGTCTGGAATGCTAATGTCAGTGCAATCAGCAAAGACAGATACAGAAAGAGAGAGGTTTTCCTCATTTTCAGATTACCAGCAGAACTCAAGATAAGTACACTGAGTTTATGTTCGATTTTCCAAAATAGTGTTCCTTAAAACCCTGCAAAATAGAAAGCTTAGATATGAAAAAAAAAAAAAGTCTTACGTAGTTGGGAATAACAGCTTAATGGCAAAAGCTTATGCATGTTGCTCTTCATTTCCCTGTTAAAGTGTCCTAGTGCTTAAATAAAAACAATGCCAGTTTTTAAGCCTGCAGTAAATACTGAATTAATAATAAACACCTCTTGGGAATTAATGCAGTCTGTGTCAGAAATGATACTGTAGAAAGCTACTCAAAAAACCCCAATGTACGAGAGTGTAAAATACTGGAAGTGTTAAATAGTATAGAAAATATAGAAAAAATTTAGATAATTAAGCTTACCTTTTCCTGCCAGTGTAATATGCCAATTATTGCCAGGATGAAAACGCAAACACCAATTAAGGCTATAGCTGTTAGCAGCACAATGTTACTTGGGGTCAGATACAGCTTGGCACTCCAGCTATATGAAAGAAGAATATCCAAGGAAAGATTAATACCTTTCATTAGGGAGCAGAAAACAGATTTAACTTACAAAGATGAAAAGAAGCTGCTAGTGTAAGACAGGTACCAACTCGGTCTACGGAAACTGGCGGCCGTACTTAGAGACTGAAGCTTCATGGGGTTTACTTGGAAATACGTGGCTTAATAGAATTACTGTCAGGTAATGCCAGGCCTAAATTCAATATCTGTGTTAACTTTCCAGGAATGCTATGGATATCCTCAGAGACTGACTGCTTTCTCATTAGGAGTTTTAACTTCCACCCCTGCCCAGCACAAAGTACAACACGTAGGAAAAGCTTCCCTAAAACTGCCCGGGGCTTGGGGAGATGGAGAGCAGGGTGACATAAGTCTGTAAGATAGACTGTTTCCTCCAGAGCAGCAGCTGGTTAGGCATCTCTCAGACCGAAGTTTACCCAGGAACAACCCCAGTTGTAGGCAACAGAACCAGTTGATTACAGCTGGAGAATGCTGGAGAGCAACAAAATCAAGCCCTTCTGGAAGACACTGCTCGAATGTTGCGGGGTCCTGAGGCTCAGCCAACACCCTTTTTGTTCTCTCCAGGCTTCCCATCGTGGGAAAGCTGTCGGCAAGGGGCTCCATGCTGAGGCAGTACTGAAGCCTCTCAGCAAACAAATGTAGAGTTGTTTTTAACAAAGATACAGAAAGAAATGTTTGCTGTGAAATCTGATTTCTTCTGGGGATTCCATCCTCTGCTATTATGCAGTGGCTGTAAACTTACTTTGTGGGAAGACAAAAACAGATGAAGGATAAAACGGCAGAAAAAATCCTGCATAACCCACACTTTTAAATACCTCAAGACTGTAAGTAAATTTTCTTCATCTGGCAGATGTTACTCCTGTGGTTGTTAATGAGCAACTCAAGTGGCACATCACTTCTCAACTGTTATTTGTCCTATAGTAAAATTAACCGCTGAAACTGATGTCAGAATCATTTCTGCACGGTAACTGCAGCTGACCTCACTAGTAGATCAAGCGGCAAAAAGCAGCTGGAATATGAGACTAATGTCTTCTCAAACAGCAAAGAGAAACACGCTCTCTTTCTGGGATAAACATTCTAATTGCAAGTGGAGGCATTATTCAAGCTCTTGCGTAACCAACCATTCACCTTTACTTGAAGAACAGTCATACCTGTGGCAGCAGATACTGTGCTCAGAAGGGCCGAACTAAAGCTTTTATATGCAATTAGACAGAAATTGCAAGTTTGGTGCAACAAAAATGCTCGCTTCAATCAGTACCATGCTTGTAATTTGTCAAAAAGAATGTTGATAAATCTAGCAAATATGTTGTTATTTAGAGGAGTTGAGCTGGTGATACGTTTTGGTTGTTTGTATGAGCCGGTAACAGAGTTTGATTGTTTATGGGCACGATCTAAGAGTCTGTGTAAATACCTGAGAAGTATCTGGCCTAGTCACAATGGAGGCAGATACATCTAAGAACTGACCCTCTCTGCCATCTGTTCTTCAGCTGGCTTTCTGTGCCAGCGACCGTTTTTAACCCTACGCATAACACCTAATTTAAGCTCCGCAGCGATGTAATTTTGTCACGTGCCAATCAAAACCGTGACGTTACCTTCGAGGAACGTTATGGGGATAGGGGATGACGATAAGCTGGGAGTTGGGTATGATAGCTGTCCACTCCTGTTTTCTTATGGACTGAAAGAAAAACAAAGGCTATGTCAACTCCTGACAAACCAACATACTTAAACGCAAATAAATTATCTGTTGAAACATATAGGAGGAGAAACAACAAAACAGTTGCTTTTTTAAAAAGAAAAATTAAATATAAGTGATATTCCCTTACGTTTGTATAAACCTTTTAGTCTGAAAGAGCCAAAGTACTTAAAAAAAAAAAAGGCAAAAAGCAAAATAACTACTGCTGACA